CAAGCAATAGCCGCCTCCCTGTCCTCCACGGCAGAACGGATTAACGGTAATTACATTGAACCTTATGGGAAAATTTGCTTCGGGTCGCGACCCATTCGGGTTGCGACCAGAGTCATGGAACGAATTAAGTTCGTAAACCGAGGTTCCACTGTATTGATGGCTGTTCACTGCCTCCTGAATCCTAAAACTCCTGGGACATGGGAGTCGAAAGGAGTCCTCCCACTTCCATCTACGCTTGTGAGTTCCCCACTCCACCCAGTTGGTCCCTGGGTGACTCTGAAGTCTGTACTAGATTGGCTGTGGGCCTCATCCAGCTTCAGTGCTCTTCTTAGTTCTTTAGCATAAAGCAACATCTGGAAAATCTGTATGGGCAGCATACAGTGGTTTACAAGTCACTGATACTCGATAAACAGTTAAGCGAGAATCATTTATTTGCCAAAGCTGGGGAAAGGGGCTGTTAGAACCTTTTTGTACAAGGCCGCATTCCCCCAAATTGAACCCCGAACTGTCCTGCTTAGTCACAATAATAATAACTGTGCCATTCTAAATTTACCGTTTTCAGTCATATTTTTAAATTCGTTTGTTTCTCAGGCTTATAGGCTACTTCAACCGTAAACTTACTCTTAAGTGGCGCACGCTGCAATCCAGCAGATGACACTGATTGATTGATTGTGGGTTTGGGTTGTTTTCTGTTTTTTTGTTTTTGCCCAGTGCAGTCGAGATTCTCAGTGGGTTACAGTCACAACAACAAAATGTCTAGAGTACAACTGAAATTACACAACTATTAAAAATAACACACCCACCCAGTAAACTAAAATAAAATCATGAACCAAGCAACCAGAAAGCAATGCAAATAAATTAAAAATTTAATAACCCGCTGTTCCATAATGTCATAAAATAACAATATATAAATTGGTCATGTCACACTGAGGGGAAATCATGGGGTTGGAAACCCAATTGGTCTTGACATTAGATGTGTGCCTTTAAAAAGGGTGTGCGTGTATATATACATGTATGTGTGTGTATATAATGTATAGATACTAAGTATTAAGTTTGCCACTCAGCTTCCCCAAAACGTTCCATCAGATGTGTTGTTTTTACCCACAACGTTCTTGTTACAGATCCCCATCTCATAAATTAAACATCCTGCCAGAAAACAAGGAATATTTAAGAAGCCTTGAGAGTTGTGTGTGTATATGTGTATTTTTATTTTTCTTAGGAAATAACTTTGCAACAGATAATGGCTCATCTGGATTCTATTCGGAAGGACATGGTCATTCTTGAGAAAAGCGAATTTGCCCATTTGAGAGCAGAAAACGAGGTATTATCCCAAGAAATGCCCTAAGCTGTGTTTGTTTATCTTGTGATGGTTTTCTGCAAAATTGACATTTTCAGATTTTATACACTCTGTGCAATGTTTCAGGTTCAATCCCAAACAGGAGCTTGTGGGGGTATGAATGGGATGGCTGGCTACAGCCCTTTAAAGCAGCTGCATCATTGCCCAGAGATGTCAGGACAGCTGCAAAATTTAACATACATTTTGCTTTATTGCTTCTGTATACCTTCAGCTGTTTTTCTCTACTTTCTTCCTCCCTTCCTTAGAAAATGAAAATTGAATTGGATCAAGTTAAACAGCAACTAATGGTAAGTAGACCAGGATCAGTTTTTAGGACAGAGCTAAGTAGACCAGGAATAGGTTTTAGGACGGAGCTAAACCTGCTTTTAAAAATAATTGCAGACAAACTTTTCATTCACCAAAATCTTGTCCTTTTGATTTTGTGCAGAGCTGCACAACTGGAGCCCCCGAACTGCCTGTGCCCTTCTTGGAAAACCTTGGGCAAGGCCCCCGCCCAGATCCGTTGCATTCTGCCACATGCTGCACGCAGGGCAGAGTAAATAATGCCTTAATAAAGATGCCAACCGCAACTGTGCACAGCAGGAAAGCAGAGACGGGCATCTCAAACAAGCTGCTGAACCCGGGTTTAAAATAGCAAGAAAGGACCAGACTTAAGAATTTTCAGGCAGCCTTGAAAGGGAGGAAAAGGTTATTCTGTCTTCTCCTTCCTCAAATTGGAGTGTGTATGTCTTTCTTTCCCTTTTTAAAGAATGAAACTAATCAAATCAAAGCAGAAAACAAGCTGGACATCAACTTGGAAAGAAGCAGAGTGACAGATATGGTGAGTAATTCTGTACTGTTTTTTTCTCTCTGCTTTCTGACCTGACTTGGATTCCTGCTTTTTTAATTCTTTCTTTCTTTCTTTTTTTTTTCCTCTCTCCTTTTCTAATTCTCCAGTTCACCGATCAGGAAAGAAAGCTCATGGAAGCCTCAACAGAATTCCATAAAAAAGTAAGGATTTGACCCAGGACCAGTTTCTAGGTCTTTGGTTGAAATTGCATCTGCCGATTTGCAGGCAATATGGGGGGGGGTGGGGGTAGTTCAGACCTCCCATCTGTCCATTGCAGTGAGATGTTTCCATTTAGCATCACCATCCAATGCTCACAGACCAGCTTTCTTATACCTGCAGGGCTTCCAGTTTTGTGGACTCCAGTTCCCAGAATTCTCTTCAATTGCCATGCCAGTTAGAATTCTGGGAATAAAAATCCACATGCCAGAAACGCCTTTTTAATGTTAATAAATACCTTACTTGGTATTATTTTTCTGATTCCCCCCACCCACCTTTTTTTTTTCTTTTTAATTATTAGAGGAAGCACTGGGACCAGATTTCTACAATCTGGGTGCTCTGCAGATGGGTGGACTTCAATTCCCAGAATTCTCTGCAATGGCCTGATGGCTTAAGACTTCTGGGAGTTGAAGTTCACTCATCTGGGGGTGCCTTGATTGGGGAAGGCTGTTTCAGGCCATCAAGCGAGCTTCCTAGAAGCAAAGTTACATACCCTATTGAGGTTCCTGAGACTACTTTCTTTTTGTAAAAGGAGAAGAGAAAGCATAATTTGGATCTGAGTTGCAGTCCGGAGCACAGTTGGAGCAGATTTCTCTCTTTTTCTCTCTCCCTAGTAGTCCCCCCACACTTGTTTTGGCCAATGAAAACGAAAGCAATGGTATTACAAGCACCATAATACTTCCAGGTTTCTGCAGTGCAACAGATCAGAATATGTTTTCTTTGATTTTGGCCTAGCACTAGGTCCAGAGGAAGACGTTACATATGGAAGGGTTACATATGCTCAGCAAGGCATATCAATCAGGCCATTTGGAGTTGTTTGGGAAACCATGGTTAAGAAAACTCTGCTTGATCATAATGTATAAATCAAGCATTCGCCCTTACAATTTAGGGTAAAGGAAGGATGGCAACTGATGTTGTATTCCTTACAAAGACATAATTCTTGTAGAATATTTGACTTCGGCGGAAGTAAAAGAGTAGAACATCAAGACAGATTTTGTACCTCCAAACGTGATTTTTGGAAGCATTATCTAATATATGGTTTAGTGTTTTGCATTTTGGTTTCTATTATTTACTTTCAAGCCCACTTTTTTGGAATGAATAATAGGAGATATATATTTTAAATTAATGGAAAGATAAGTCTCCCTCAAGTCAAGGCTGGCTTCCGGTGAATCCAAGAGCCCAGCCAGGTTTTCTGGCCAAAAATATGGAAATGATTCACTGCTTGCCATCTTCTAGGATGTATTTTCAACTTTCTAGTCTAATCTAGTCTGCAACCTTAAGATTTCCTAGTGATCTCACATCCCAAAATTAACCTGGTCTCACCTTGCTTAGGTTTTTTGAGATCACCCAAGCTTGGTTAGGTACTTCCATTTGTTATGACTTTAACTAATAAGGGATGCTGTTTTTCTTTAAAGAAGTTTCCAGGGCAGTTTAAAAACCTGCATACATTTGTAATAGGCAGCCACATGGCAGGAGGAAATGCATATTTTTAAATAACCTGAGAGAACAGACTCACCTTTGCCTGGTATCCAAAGGTTGTTGATGCCACACCAAGCCAGGTGGAGAAAACTGCCTGTCTCTGCTAACTGCCCTGGTCATCTTGGGTGCAAAATGATCCCTCGTGTCCTTCTAGGATTCAAGCACCAACAGTTCCCTTACGGAAGTCAACAATAAAATTGATGCTGAAATTGCAGCTCTCAAAACACTCATGGAGTCGAATAAACTGGAGACCATCCGTTATTTGGCAGGTATGTGCCTGGTGTGTTAACATCCAGCTTCCAAAGCAGAACGCTTAGCAGTTGAAACCGGTAGCATTTTCTGTCATTGCTGAATGATTTCAGCCACTTCGTACTATTCCCCATCCATTTTCTGCCTTGTTTTGCTTCAATAATTAATGGGGTCTACTATCCCCAGCAAAGCGAGCGAGAGAGAGAGGTTTACTTTTTCAAATGTTGGGGTTCCCACCATGCTGCTACTAGCCAAGGGCTAGTACTACAGTGGAACCTCAGGTTACGAACACTTCTGTTAACGAACTTTTCGGGTTACGACCAGCTCCAGCCGCAAAAATTTGCTTCGGTTTGCGAACTCCGCCTCGGGTGACGAACAGGATCCGTGGCCATTTTCCCGCGCGTGACACGTGGTCCGCGGCCATTTTCCGCCCTGACATGTGGTCCGCGGCCATTTTCCCGCCCCTGACACATGGTCCGTGGCCATTTTTCCGCCCCTGACACGTCCGTGGCCATTTTCCGCCCGTGACACGTGGTCCGCGACCATTTTCCGCCCCTGACACGTGGTCGTAGGGAGGGGGAC